TATTATTATTATTATTATTATCATTATGAGTTGCTGTCAATAGATTGATACTTATTATTATTATTATTATTATCATTATTAGTTGCTGTCAATAGATTGATACTTACGAACTCTTCAAAGCTGTCTCTTTCTTCAGCGGTTTTCTCTGCCTAAAAAGTATACGTACCACACAATAAGTCATATAGCTCAATCTAATTAACGGAACTTACATATTTGCGAATTTTGCAATTTTCTTTAACAGTACTAATTAAAAAAAGTTCGCAATTTTATCAACTTTCATAATTTGCGAATTTTCGAACCGTATCATATTATATACTAGTAAAAAAAAGGTCGCAATTTTATCAACTTTCATAATTTGCGAACTCTGATGCCGTATCATATTATATACTAGTATATGACAGCATAGCATTTGTCCAAAAAAAACGCCGATGCTTGAGATATATTTATGATTGGCTACGTCCAATCCCGGGGGGGTTACTACCACCCCAACTTGGGTAGGGGTGTGCCGCCTGGACCTCAAAACCCTGACCCTATCCCAGACCTAAAAATTTGATTTTACATACCCTACCCCAGACTAAAACTAAGAATTATACACCCTATCCCAGACTAAAAGACGGAAAATACGGTTTTACAATCGATTGCAATCAATATTCACTAACGTGCTTATTGTTTTTGTGTCGTCAGAAAGCGTAGCCTATTCGCCAGACAAGAACGACCAAATCGTAACCCTATCTCAGACAAAAATGATACCCTATCCCAGACTAAATGTCAAAAAATGATACCCTACCCCAGACCCAAAAGCCAAAAAACCATACCCTATGGGGCGGCACATACCCGTATAGCAAATATAGGGGAGTACCCCCCCTCCCCCGGGCGACCAATGAGTAATTTCCGCAGAAAATCGTAATTTGCATAGGTGTTAGAACTAAGACATGACAACTGATATCCATTTCCTTTGTTTGAAGATTTGACACTCATACATCTCATAGTGCAGCACAAAGCAGGGAAATGATATGATACGGCATCAGAATTCGCAAATTATGAAAGTTGATAAAATTGCGAACTTTTTTTACTAGTATATGATATAATTTTAAATCAATTTAATACGGTATCAAGAAAATTGCGAACTTTTTTTTATTAGTACTGTTAAAGAAAATTGCAAAATTCGCGAGATAGGATCAGGTACCTAGCCCCCACCCCCCTCTCTCTCCATTGGGAGCTTTAGAAATAAGGATAAAAAATGCAAAATCTAAATACTGTAGCATGCTATATGATACCTTTCTAGGTAACAGACACTCCCCGAAACCCTCCTGGATCCATCGGTGTTATAGTATGAAGACTAATAGATCTTCTTGGTGCAGTGTTTTTCCATTATAGACCACTTGTCATTCTCTAGAGAATAAGATTCTTTGTTCGAGTTTTAACCATATTCATGTGTCTTCATATGCAAAACCATCAAACAAAGAAATGACACTCTTGGGTATGACACATGGTCTGTAATGGGGAAGCATTGCACCCTAGCTAAACAAAGAAATGACACTCTAGGGAATGACACATGTCTGTAATGGGGAAGCATTGCACCCTAGCTAAACAAAGAAATGATACTCTAGGGAATGACACATGGTGTGTAATGGGAAAGCATTACACCCTAGCTAAACAAAGAAATGACACTCTAGGGAATGACACATGGTCTGTAATGGGGAAGCATTGCACCCTAGCTAAACAAAGAAATGACACTCTTGGGTATGACACATGGTCTGTAATGGGGAAGCATNCATGGTCTGTAATGGGGAAGCATTGCACCCTAGCTAAACAAAGAAATGACACTCTTGGGTATGACACATGGTCTGTAATGGGGAAGCATTGCACCACAACGAATATCTTCTATGCTTACCACTTTTAATACTTCAGATAAGGTTTGCTGAGCTGTCACTTCTCTTTCTAGAATGTGTTCTAGTTTTTTTTCTAAAAACAAAGTCTTTCGCTCCAATTTCCTGCAGAAGATAAGCAAAACATATCAGACAATATTTTGATCAGACTTGGGCTGTTTAACTAACCCTTAACACCTAAAAAATAATAACGAATGGTCATGACAATGGTGATGATAATAGCGATAATAGTGGTGGTGTTAATGATTGTGATGATCATGATGCCATTGATGATGATAATTAAGGATTATTCGCCGAAGGTGAAGTGAATATTGGGGAATGATAACCGAAACGAAGTTGAGGTTATTATTCCGGATATTCACTGAGCCTGAGGTGAATAATTGTTTTAGTATAAATACACAGGTGATTCTTTCAAAAGGAGGGGGAAAGAAGATAAAAGACACATTTTTTCCTGGTAACAGCAACAAAGCGGCTGTCTGCCATTTTGGATTATCGCTGGAGGTGATTGTTGTGTGTTTATACTAATATTGTATATTATAATGTTTTAGCAGTGTTTCAACGGACTTGCATTTAATCAAATGAACTTAATTGTCTTTTTTTCTGTGTTACCATTAAATAAGCAATAGACCCTTTTCGAATTCCAAATTACCGCTGTGTTTCTTGATTACAGACTCATTTGCACAGGGTTAGCCTCGAGTTTGTGCAGAATATTCATGTGTTCCAGTCAAGGTCCGTTGAGTTTCAAAGTGTTCGTATTGTTGAAGTTGTGCATTCTTTACTTTACCGTTGGTATTTGTGAATATTTAAACACTGGCTGAGGCTAACCCTGTGCAAATGAATCTGTAATCAAGGAACACAGCGGTAATTTGGAATTCGAAACTGGTCTATTAATACCCAAGCAGGGGGGTTTATAGACCTTGTTAACTTGGGGGAATGTTTTCCCTTTTCAGACCACTTCATCTCAGTGTTGTACGCATATTCATGTGTCTTCTCATGTGCACCCGCTACACAAAGTACAACCCACTTTCAATAATATACATGTGCTTTGCTTGTCACACACAAAGGTTTCAATGAGGAGAAAAGAATACTTTTCATTTAAAACCTAGCCGGGTACTTAAACCTTTCTACTTGGCAAGCAAAGATTGGGCTATCTCGGAATTGGGATATTGATACTGTAGGGAATGACACGTGGTCTGAAATGGGAAAGCAGTATACCTAAGGTGATAGGATTTAATTATTAGCATGGAAAAGGGGACAAACAAAATCACCTTTGATTCTTTTTATACACATCCAATTCCTTGGTTAACTGGGTGATCTGTGCATTAGAATCTTGAAAAACACAAAGAAATAGATTGAAAATCCATACTTCAATCATAAGCTTTTAAATTAACAATTCATTTAACCTTTACTCACACTGAATTCAATAACTTGTGCAGGTTACACAAGAATTGGCTTTGATGGAATAATAAGTCCAGATGCAAGCACATTCTTTACTGTGGTTTTCGATATTCTGCAAACTCGGTAGTCACAAGCTGCAAGCTGAAATTCCTTTTTTCACTGCCGTCAATCAAAAATAATCAGTCAGTACCTTCTATTCTTTTGACTGGCAGCAGTGAAAAACCCATTTCACAACAAACCATTGAAATGTATGAGCTCGCAGAATATGGAAAATTGCAGTAACTGCTCTGTTTTTTTTATTGGATGACAATTCTGGACTGAGCTGGAATGCATTGCTATGGTTGTATCAGCCACTGCTGTGAAGTTCATGTCTAAGATCAAGGGTTCAATTCTGGACTGAACTGTTTATTTTTTTGTTCTCTCCCTCAGCTCTGTGCCACAAGGTTTTTATTCTGGGTTCTGGTTTTTCTCCCTCCTACCTGTGTGTCATAGTATGCTGGTCAGTGCAGAGGTTCCCTCWGGGTTTATCACTATATTATTTTTATTTTGATAAAAATGTTTGGCTTAGTTTTTTATGATCAACATACCAGCAAGACTTGAAGCAAGGTTCTGTTTTTCTTCTTGAACAACCTAAAACCATGTTTGTAAATTGCATAAAAAGCAATCTGACATTCACAATGTAAAGTGCCTTTGATTATATTTACATAGAAAGGGTGCTATATAAATCATAAATCATTATCATTATAAAACAATGAAATGAGCATTAAAATTAAGGCATAATTAGATTCGCACGTTTTACTAATAAGACGAACTTGCTAACTCACTCAGGATATAAGCACAATTTGTGGCTATGCAAGCTACTTAGAAACTAAAATTTGCAAAAGTCTAGTGTGACCCGAAATGTTAGTAATGAAATGAGATCTCATAAATCTGCTTATCAATATTTTCCAACATATAAGTGTACTTACATTTAATCTTGACTCAAGATCTTCTATCTCTGACTTTTTCTTTGAACTTAGATCTTCCATCACGCTGTTTGCATAAAAGTAAAACAATTAATGATTAATAAAGCTTAAATTATATCTTTATTTGTTAGAATATGAAACAGCTTTAGTGATAGTAGTGGTGGTGATGAGTGGTGGTGATGGTGATGGTATTGATACTAGTGGTGATGAGTGTGATTATAGTGGTGGTGATGGTTGACAGATGTTAGTGGTGATCTGATATTAGTTACTGTATGATGACTTAAGATAATGTCTTACCTTCTACATTCATCAATCATAGAAAGATGTGCCTCAACATTTATCTTTGTTTCTTCCTCATCTATCATTTCTTTATATTTTTGACTCATGTTAGCGCAGTTGTGTCGAGATTCCTCCAGCTCAGTCTCGAGATTTCTCTTTTCTGATTCCAGTGTAGCAATGCGCATAGAAAGTTTGGACACTAAGAAAATAAAGACACTGACGTCATTGGCCTAATTTCATCTTCTGGGCCCAGCTATACTGAGCTAACATTACACATAGTCCATGTATGACCCCTGAGCACAGCTCTAACCAGTTTGAATTAGTTAAGGTTGGTTGGAGAGGAGGGAGGAAAAACACCCTCAGAGTCAGAAAGAGAACCAACCAACTCGGAATGGAACCCTGGATGGCAGAGATGACTACCCAAAGGGGTATAAAACATGGCTTAGGGCTGTTTACCATAAGTGAAGAACCAACCTGAAGAACCAAGTGAAAACCTGCCCTTTAAAAAAATATGCAGACTTCTTCAATTCAGTTCAATTCATACCATCTTGTCCGTGAGATCGTTGCAGTTCTTTCAGTTTTTTGTGTTGTTGGTCCTGCTGTTTCATCAACAGCTCATTTTCTTCCACAACAAGCTTGGCTTGTACCTGCAGCTGTTGCCTGAAAACAAGGGAAGGGAGGTTGATCAAGACCAATATTCTACAAGCAGCTTTGCATTTTTACTTGTCACTTGTATTTCGGCTTGCTTAAAGGCTCGTTAAAATACTCCATGACTCCTAAAAATACACAGTTGTATCAGATGCTTAGCCGACTGATAACTTCTATGTACTGTATATGGTGTAAAAACAGCATTTTAAGTACGAATTTAGTGAATTCAAATCTAGACCTATATACCATAGCACCACATAGCATTCTGAGCCTTTTTTTCTCAAAATATTGAATCTGACATCTATTGGGCCCAAAAATAAGCGACTCATCAATGAAGATCTCATCAGTACTTACCATTCATCTAAATCTAATGCATCTGGCTTGGAATGTGTTAGTCTCTGTATACACCAGAACAACAATTAAGTCATGATAGATTTTAGTAGGAACATTATTATAGTGCACTTTTGAAAATCGTGTACTATATACCCTTTCAACTTGAGAGCAATGCTTTTCCATCTTAGAACGCATGTCATTTCCTGGAGTATCATTTCTTTATTTATCAGTTGGCATTTATTCAGAAGACACATGAATGGAGATACAACTCAAACAAAGAATCTCATTCTCAAGAGAATGACACTAGGTTTGAAATGGGATTCAAACATTAAGCCTTTACTATTAAATCTACTGAAAATTTACAACAAGGCGAAGACAAACGCCATTTTATTAAACCCTAAGACATGTTGATAAAGTTCAAGACACAACCAACAAACAGATCAATCATCTAATCAAGGGAGACATAGAAAATGCTCCTCACATGGGATGATAAGTCCAGGAATCAAACTCCAGATCCCACATATGCACTATTCTTGACACCCCATATGCCATCAAGAGAGAATCTACAGTACAGTACTCTTCTCCCTCTCCCTCAGTCTGTAGAGTGTTTCTTACCATGTGAAGGTCTTGGTTTTCCTTGACTATCTCCATTAATCTTGCTTTGAATGAAGCAAGCTCTTCCTTTGATTTGAACAAAACGATAGACTTTTTAAATATTCATTATAATTAATTAAATAATTCTAATATCATTATGTTCCTTGAGTACAGACTTATTTAACAAACTCATTGGCTGTGCATGAAAGGACATCCAATAACAATTATACTATTACAATGCTTCGTGATATGTCTCCGTTTTTACTAAGCACTTGGTTGTATGTTCGTTTATCAGAACAAAATTCATTTATTTATTAAAAAAACAATAGTAATCTGCTAAAGAAGGTTATCAGAAATTAATTTCAAATAAAGCACTTAATGTTATATCATATAGGCTGACTGCACGCGGCATTGACTTGGCCATTATTGTTTATATTGTTTTTGAAACTCATGATCTTTGTCATGACCAACCCTCCCTAATTATTTGTTATGGTGGGGTGGCCTTATTTAACTGATAAAAAGTAACTCTAGTATATGGTACAGTGTATAATATTAAAGTTACGCATCTAGTATGGTGGTTCTGATTTCTGTCAAGACCACCCCTCCCTAAAAACTCTTCTGACCTTTGTGATCTTCCCTCCCCTCCCCTAACAATTTTGCCATATTGGGGTAAACAGAAATTAAAAACTTGTGGAAGTTTTTAAGGTACAGCACATAAAACAGTAAGTGTAAAACACAATAATGATAATGATAATGATATTTAAATAATAATAATATGTACTTATTGACTGAGCACGTGGGAGGACCATACAGAAAACTATTTGGCTCGAGGTGATGCCGTATACCAAGAGCCAAATATTTTCCCATACAGCCCAACCTAACTCAGTCAACAAGCATTTTATAGTATGACCCTCACGAAAAGAAAAATAATTAAATAAACATGCTTGCAGGGCTGTATGGATTCGTACGGCCCTGCTCGCTCAAAGCTGTATGGCCCTGCTGACGTCATTTTCCCGAAGGTTTTTTTAAAGAGTGCGCACCCGGGCAGATACGGGTCATATGATAAGAATAATAATAATTTATTCATTATTTTTTAAATAAATTTTAAAAAGAAATATTCCTAATAATAGTTCGTCTGAATGTTCGTCTTTAGTTAATAATATTCTAAAGTAATAATCTAAAAAAAATCTTATTAATAATTATAATTATAATATTTACATCATATGTCTTGATGACGTCCTCTCTTTCTTTCAACCTGTCATCATAGGCCAGAAACAAAGGTGCCAGGAATTTTGTATTGACCTAATATTTGTTTCAAATAAAAATTGATTAATGATTTTGTTATATGTCAGCAATAATCTCCAAAACCCTTAAATTTTATTGATGCCCTGAAATATCTTCTTGAGTGATCCCTGCTAACTCACAGTTTAAATTGCAAACAGAGAGACCTAAGAAACTTTACTTACATGTGATGGTGAGTCCAGGAATCAAACCTGAGACCCCACAGGCGCTAGGTGAGTGCACTATTTGGGCAGAGAGATAAATGGTAACCTTGATTGAGTGAACTACAATTACTCAACCATTGCTCTACCATTAATTTTCTCAACCATTTCTCAACTGTTTCTCAACCATTTCTCAACCATTTCTCAACCGTTTCTCAACCGTTTCTTGACCATTTCTCAACCATTTCTCAACCATTTCTCAACCATTTCTCAACCATTTCTCAACCATTTCTCAACCTTTTTTCGACCATGGGAGTATAGGGTGGCATAGCGATAGTGCACTTGTCTCTCGATCACCTCTGCAATCCCAGGTTCAATTCCAAGACTAAATGGAATAACATGTGAATTTATTTTAATACAATGGCTCTCTGGTTATCTCCCTCCAGCAAACCCAACATGCTAAATTCCAATTTGATCTGTGAATTAGCTGTGCCCTTAGGGCTTGGACATTGTGTGAGCCAGCAAGCCATATGGTTGCAAATCATGCAAGGCATGGAAGCCATTACATGTAGTATGTGTCATAGGAGCCAAACAAAACGAAACAGTAAAGTACTGTGTTCACAGTTTGAGTGTCGTCACTGTCCAGTAATCCTTTAATAAAGCAGCAGAAGACAAAAAAGGGATTTTTGGAAATGCACTGGTAATAATTAAAAGAAAATATGCAAACACACTGCATGGGGTTGCAAAGGGATTTTGACACCATATAAAATGTTATTTCTCTTTTGCCCTTGTTTGTGCCCTGACTTTGATCAGCCAGAAGGTTATTTCCTGAAGGGTATCAATAAAATTTGAATTTTCAATTTTAAAAATATATCTAAACATCTGTGATAGATGTAAAGAGTTTTTATATGGGTCACCATGGTAATAGAATGACAGAAATCATGGTACATGACTTACCAGCCATGGAGATGGTTCTTTAGCTTTGGTTTTGGACAGCATAACTGGAAAATCCTTTCAAGAAAAAAAAAAAAAAAAAAGATTAAATGCTTCAGTGTATGACAATGAACATAAGTAGGTACAACGAATTGCGTATTTAGGCAAAATGATCTGAAGTTGATCATTAGTTCCTCAATCAAGACAATCTACTGACTGAAGTACAATTATGCATTAAAAATGTTGAGTACATTAATTAAATTTTACTGTACATGTAGGTGGAGCACCATCAGGTAACTAAACACCTCTTATGATGTAGAGAGAATAAGAGAAAAATATCAATATTCTCTCTACTTCATTATATACACACCGAACGCATAATTTATTACCTCTTATGATGGTTTGTTTTAAAAATACATACTCGATAAGTACATGTGTCTACTGCTGATAGATACACAGCAACATTTTTGAATCATGTATATGTAGAATATTCACTTGTAGGTATTCAGGGCCTAATATTCTGGTTACGGAGCTGATCAGTTATCCCTTTAACGGGCTCAATTATTGTCACTTTAAAAATCTGAGTCAGTTTCACATCACATCGGTTTTGTAAGGATCATCCATGAAGCAACATTATTAAAACATGCTTCGTGTAGCATACCTGAAAGCAATTTAATTAAACAACACTTGACACATTCGATGAAACCTGTGTGCCTAGCTTGTTCCAAAAAATAAAAAATAAAAAATAAAATAAAATTCACTACAAAAATGGCTGCGATTACCTTGTAGGAATCACTGAATCATACCAAATCATGTTTGAAACGTTGGTCAAACGTTTTCCAGTCGATAAAAAATCGTACTAAGCAGTTGCAAACAGAGCAACCAAGTTGACCAGCCAGTATGCGGTCCTCGGATAACATTGGCTATCCTCGTCATGCGCCGCTGGCTGTGCACGTCAGGGATCCGAAAGTAATCCGAAGTTTTAAAACCCTTACACCGGGATGAGCTTTATGTCAGTAATTTCATATGCCATTTAGGATATGAAGTATATCTGGGTAAACTCGATGGCATAGTGTCTACCGCTTATTAATATGCAGTAGACACAAAAATAGGTCCTTTGTAAATTACAATGGTATCCCTTGAATTATTAATTTAATAAAATCTTACCTCTGCTGTGGCTTGTCGATACTTGGTCTGGTATCTACTTAATTCAACATTTACTCTGTGGACTGTTAAATCAACCATGTTAATAATAATCAATAAACTTTCCATTCCAGTCTTGCACAGTCAAAGATACGCTCTCCCCATTCCCTAACCTGGCTATTGTGAGCAATCTGCACAGTATGGTAGTGTCGGTAAGTGGTCGCTGAGTGGTTGGTAAGTGGTAAGTAAGTGGTCCATAACTTAACAGTAAGGTGTTGGTAAGCATTGTCAGCCAACAACTTACCTACAACTTACTGTACAGTGTGGATTGATCACAAAAGATGCCCCCCCTCCCCCCAACTCACCAAGGCAACCATTCCCTCTTGGCAATGGTTTAGAAAAATTCCATGACTGGATGACTGGCTGTTGGGCATGGGGATGCTCGTTGTGCCTTTTATGGTACCAAATCTGCAATTTGGTACCCCTTAGGTGGGTTCACAAATCTAAAAGGATCCCTGGAGAGTAATCCTGTACCTATAAGAGGGTGTTTCTGAGGCAGTAAGATACCTGAGATTTTATGATGAAAGTCAGAATGGCAGTTGTCAGTGATTCAGGATACTTATTTTTGGTTCATTATGAATCTGACTACTGTCACTCACATCATAGATTATTATTCACTTTTGTTAACTTTTAGGGATAAAAATCCTTAGTTGCCACGCCCAACTGAAAAGAGCTCAGGTACTTCTTAGGGGTCATTTTCAAAAATTGCAAAGATCATCCCCGCCTTTCTATTTATAGAATTCCCCCCCCCCCCAACCAGGCAGGGACGGCGGAACTGGGGGGCTTTAGCCCCCCCACTTTTTGTGAAAATTCAATACATTTTCACTAAACTCAGCCCCCCCACCTTGCCATACAATGTTACTATTGAGCCCCACCAATCAAAAAACTGCTCCGACGTCCCTGCCAGGATCAAATAAGAATTATATTAATTCTTATTTTATGTACCAGTCTCTCGAAGCACTTTGTTTTCTTCCTGTAATTCTTTGATTTGCTGCTGCATGATCAAGGATGACCCACCTATAGAAAATCAAAATATCATAAGACATGATCTTCACCCGTGTACCCAATACTTACTGTTGAAGAAATAGAAAATGCGTGTACGCTGTGTGCCGTTTTAAAGCACGCAGGGATTGGCAGAACATGAGAGAAGTGTTAGGAGAAGAATGATGTGTAGCGGATGCTTCTCCACACTTCTCGAGTGTTCTGCCAATCCCCAAGTGCTTTATAACTCCACACAGCACAGCAAGCAAGTTTTTTATTTCTTTTATTAAATGCAAAGGGTGCATGCATTCTGCTCTCATAAAGCACACGCTCCCATACAATCAGAATGCGAGATTTATAACAGTTATTTTATAATTATATTTAGAAATAAATTACAGCATTTTCTGTGCTTTGTTCTGCAGTAAAACTCCTTGCAGGAAGCGATGAAAGCATTCAAGAAGTGTGAAAAGAAGCATGAGCCATAAGGGGGTTATTTTCAAACTTCAAAAATGTGCTTACAGTGAAAACGGCATAAGCTTACCCTCCTAGAATACATTTTAATGATTTCATTATTCAAATATTTAAATTTATTATTCTTTTTAAGAATAGGGATACTCTGACAGGGTTCAGAATATTTATATAAGAGAAATATACTGTATACTAGAAAGATATAACTAGCTAAAAACTAGTGTGAGCTGCGTCGGTGTTTCTAATGAAACAGTAATGATGAAAAGGTAAATTATACACCGTGAAAAGATG